TATGAGGATGTGCTAGCCAGCTGAAGGAACACCTTTGCCTGGGCTGTGCTTGGTGGCGGTGAGTTGCTCATTCTGGAGCAGGGTGGCAGTGGTAGGCAGTGCTGGAAAGGTAAGCTGGCATCAGTGGCCTGGCAGGGGGGCAGCTAGGACTGCCGTGGGTGCTGCACCACTGCCCCTCCGCAGCAGAGCCCTCAGGGCTCCAGACCCTGCTCATGCTCAGTGCATGCAGCCCTGTGATGCACAAGGCATGGCACGGCGTGGGATGGAGCCCGGGGAGGCCGGCAGCTGGAAAGGAACTGGGATGCGGTGTGCTCCAGGGACAGGGAAGTCATTTGAAAATTCTCAGGGAAAGGAGTGCAGGGGAGTTCTGGCCTCTCACCAACATTTACCATAGCGCCGGGCATGGTGGCAGGCATCTTTAATGCCAGCGTACAGGAGGCTAAGGCAGATGGATCTCTGTAAATTCGGAGCCAGTCTGGTCTACATGGGTTGTTCCAGGTCAGCCAGGGCTACATAGCGAGACCATATCTAAGTAAATAAGTAATAGAGAAATATCCCAGGTAGCAATGCTTGGCTCAACCCTGTGGAGTCTGACCTGAGCCTGCTGCCTGCTCACCACCACTGGGCAATGCTCCTGGCTCTAAGATGGCCAGACAAGCAAAGACTGATGTCAGAAGGCGGTGAGGACTGGGATGGTCTCGTCGTCATACACCCCTGGGATCTCCGTCGACAGGTGGGGCAGTTGGCTGTAACAAACCTCTGACGTCAAAGGAGAAAGTTTATTTCAGTCATCCTTTCAGAAGCTTTAGCCTGCAGACGGGGTCTCACTTTGGAATCCACGCTAGCTCGGGCTGGCTATGGAGCCCATGGCAATCCTCCACCATCTAGCAGTGCCGAGTGGAGCCTTTAGCACCTAGGCCCTGGAGGACAGTCCAGATCCACCTGAGCAGGCGCCAGTCATACCTCGGCCTTGCCAAGTGTCTGCAGAGACACCATCCAGCCTTGACAAGGTTAGAGGCAAGGCATAAGTATCCAGGTGTAGTACTTAGGGCTGTAACCCTAGCACTCAGGGGGCAGAGCCAGAAGGGTCTCAAGTTTGAGGCCAACCTGGTCAACAGAGAAATGCAGGTTAGTATGGGCTACGAAACAAGATCTCATCTCACACGTACGTACATGCACACCCCAAAAGAGAAAAGCAACTAAAAACAAATGTTGGGTGACAACACCTAACATCATTTCCCTTGGGCCGAGCAGGACTGAGCCAGCCTGTCACTCATGTGCCATTAATTATCCCATCCTCATTGTCATATGGGAGACTGCAGACCACAGCCCTGTCCAGCGGCCCCTTGTCTGGCCTCTGACCTCACTGCTCCTTACCCCACCCCCTGGTGGCCGTGGGAACACTTCTGCCTCTTTTCCCTGGTAGATCTTTCAGGGTGATGTTCCTCTCGGTACCTTTTAGTGAGTTGTCCTGTCCGCCTGACGCCTGGTCGTTGCTGTGTCCTGGAACTTTCTCCAAGCACACTAGGCTGCACCACAGTGCTCCCTGTTCACATGTCCTGTGTCCCACTTTGGGAACGATCTCAGAGTTTTGCCTCTAAACTGGACTGTGTCCCCTTGGACATGACCTCATTCTGTAGGTGCTTTCAGAGAATGGAGTCTCTCCCCATAGCCGAATGGCACAAAGTGACCTCCTGGGAAACGTGGGCTAGAGAAAACAAAGGAAGTGGTGTTGGTTTTCTGTTTTCTGTTTTCTTTCTCTTTTTTCTTTTTCCTTCTGAGACAGGGTTTCTCTGTGTAACAGTCCTGGCTATCCTGAAACTTGCTCTATATACCAGGCTGGCCTCAAACACAGAGATCCACCTGCCTCTGCCGCCCAGAGTCCTGGGATTAAAGGTGTGCGCCACCATCAATCACCAGGTAGGCACAAATGGCATCCCGAAGACACAGTAGATGGAATGTGTGCCTAGCAACAGTGACACACACACACACACACACACACACACACACACACGTAGACACACGCGCAGCTCTCCTAGCACCTTGGTAGCGGCTCTGGGAGAAGGGAGGAAACCTATGGAATAAGAGGCTGGCAGGGTGGAGCAGGGTTGGGGGTGAGGACACCACTTAGACATTCAGCCTCCTTATCTAGGGGAACCGGGGCAACATGGCTACAAGCCCAGAGGTAGGTAGATGACCCAATGACCAAAAACAGAGGTCTGAAACAGAGGCCAAGACATACTCAGCCTTCAAGGGTCAGGGACCGTGTGGCCCATCTGCCTTAGCCCTTGACGCCAAAAGGGTAAAGACCTGAAGCCAACCCTTGTGCCTAGACCATACTATTCCCCAGCAGGGCCACAATGTGTTCAGTGTTTTGTAATACTAGCCCTTAACTCTACAACAACCAACGACAGAATGAAGGGGCAGCCAGCCAGATGTGGATGTACACACTGGGAACTCATTCAGGAGGATCAGATGTTCAAGGCCATCTTTGTCTACACAGTGAGTTTGAGGCTAGCCTGGGCTACGTGCGATCCTAGTCTCAAACAGCAAAAACCAAAAACAACAAAGGAACCTAGCCAGGCATGGTGTGGCAAGCCTGTAATCCCAGTGCTTGAGAAGCTGAGACATGAGGGTATCAATTCACAGGTGGCCTGGGCTACACAGGAAGACTCAGTTACAAATAACAATAATAATTTTAAAACAAAAATAGGGACGGGGAGATGGCTCAGTCAGTACTCTCTGCACAAGCATGTAGACCCGAGTCCCATCTCTAGCCTCTGTGTAAACATCCACCTGTGGTCCATCCTTCAATCTAAGCAGAGGAAAATGGGTCCCTGATGCTCACTGTCAACCAGCCCAATCTGCTTGGTGAGTTCCAGGTCAGCAAGAGAGCCTGTTTAAAAGAGCAGGGCTCTGCCAGGCAGTGGTGGCACACACCTTTAATCCCAGCACTCTGGAGGCAGAGGCAGGTGGATCTCTGTGAGTTCAAGACCAGTCTGGTCTACAGAGTGAGTTCCAGGACAGCCTGGAACTCTGGATTTACACAGAGAAACCCTGTCTCGAAAAACCAAAAACAACCAACAAAAACAAGACTCCTAAAGACCTTCACCAGAGGTCCTCTGGCCTACACACACACACACACACACACACACACACACACACACACGAATAGTTGGGTACCAGCCTGCCTGTGGAGCTGACAGGTGACATGAGCCACATGCTGTGGGTGCTAGGAGCCCAGACCCTGAGTCTTCTGCAGGAGCTGTGTATGCCCTTTAACAGCTGAACCATCTCTCTAGCCCATTTTTTTTCTCTTTTTATTCTTTATCTTTTTCTTTATGAGACAGGATCTTTCTATGTAGTCCCGGTTGTCTTAGAACTCACTCTGTAGACCAGTTTGGCCTCAAACTCAGAGGTCTGCCTGCTTCTGCCTCCCGGGAGCTGGAATTAAAGACAGGTGCCACCAGGCCTGGCTTTATTGCTATTAGAATATTTTGTACCGTGTGTGGTAGTCCAGCGCTGCTGCCATGGGCAGCCACACAGCCTGTGCCGCAGGCCAAGACCTGTCTTGAAAAACCTGTTTTCTTCAACCTTTCTCTTAGTTTTTCAAACATGAAACACAGTTTTATTATTATTATCTTAAGATTTATTTGTTTATTATGTATACAGTGTTCTGCCTGCATATATGCCTGCAGGCCAGAAGAGAGCACCAGATCTCATTATGAATGGTTGTGACCCATCATGTGGTTGCTGGGAATTGAACTCAGGGCCTCTGGACGAGCAGTCAGTGCTCTTAACCTCTGAGCCATCTCTCCAGCCCTCCACAGTTCTAATTTGTGATGCTCCTGTATCAGTTCTGAGCAGTTTTCAGTTAAAAATATTTATTATTATTATTATTATTATTATTATTATTATAAGCTGGTTTATTTTCCTGCTTCTTTGCAATACCTCCAAGTTTTTTGTTTTGTTTACTTATTTGAGACAGGGTTTCTCTATGTAGCCCTGGCTGTCTTGGAACTCTGTATAGACCAAGCTGGTTTTGAACTCAGAGATCTGCCTGCCTCTGCTTCCTGAAAGCTGGGGACTAAATATGTGTGCCAACATGCCTGGCTCCTCCAAATATTTTGTTTGTTCGTTCATTTTTCTCAAGACAGAGTGTCTGTGTGTAGCTTTGGAGCCTGTCCTGGAATTCACTCTGCCTCCCGAGTGCTGGGAGTGCTCTCTCCCTGGGCATGGTGACACATGTCCACCCACCACCCAGGAGGCTCACAAAAAGCACATGGTTGTTCTGCGCTTCGTAGCGAGTTCCACGCCCGTCAGGGATGATACATAGTGAGACTTTGCCACAAACAGACCAAACTGTTGAATGCCATCAATTTTTTAAAGATTTATTGATTTATATGTGTTTTGCCTGTACCACCTGCTTGTTCGCGGGGGTCAGAAGAAGCTGTTGGATTCTCTGGAAATGGATGTGTGCATCTATCTCTCGGGTGCTGAGAACCTAGCAAGACCTCTGCAAGATCAGTAAATGCTCTTAACCCCTGAGCCATCTCTCCAGCTGAAACTTAATCTTACTCAGATTTCTTCAGTCTGAGTAACTTTACTGATCAGGACGTGACAGTCTGGACCAGATCTTATGAAGTTGTCCGTGACCCAAACAAGTGGCACCCCGGGGATCGGGGGACTCTACCTGTGTTTCCCCCGTGCTCAGCGGGAAGCTCAGAGGAGCTTGACATTCGGGCCGTAGGGTGCCCCACGCATTTCCGCTTCACTACAGCCTGCTTTACAAACATGGGGACAAATAGCAGGAAGGGCCTCGGCTCCACACCCGGGTACAGCCCTGCACGCCAGCTCCCGGTTCCTCGGATTCTACGGTGCAGCCCGGAAAGCGAGCCGCCCGGCCACCTTCCCGTTGTGCGGCCCTTTGCCGCCCCCTGCCGCCGCAGCGTGGATACGGCAGGCCCGCCCACCCTCATTCGGATTGGCCAGTGTGCAGAACTCGGGCGCCGAGGCCCCGCCTCCTCTCCGGGTCCTTTGATCACGCGCCGGAGGGCTCTTCCGGGGCCAGAGCCAACCCTCGGTGTTGCTGTCAGAGCGCTCGGCGGGAGGTAAGGCATGGCCGGGCTGGATGGGCTGCAGCGCGCCAGCACCTGGTAGCTCGGGATGCCGGGGTTCCAAGGCGCCCACGGGGGCTGCGACCCATCGGCATGCCCAGCTCCCCTTCCCCGCCCTGATCCCCGAGCTTCCCCGCACCGAGGGAGCCACCTTCTGCCCGCTGTGTCGGACCAGCATCCTAAGACCGGCCTCATACCCTTCCGGTTCTGGCCCCCTCGACCCGAGACGGGAAGCTCGCGACTGGGAACTGGCAAAACTGGCCCACGGACAGGGGGCAGTTAGCTCGTCTCTCTTCCTCTCTGAGTCTGGGATAGGAACTTGGGCCATCTTTAATGCCACCGCCCCAGGATGATCTCCTTTCTGTCGATGGGGGCCATCCTCTCCACCTCTGCCAGTCAGCCCTGGCCGGGAGGGGAGAAAACATGGGAGGAGCCCCGGGTGTATTAGAGGCAGGTGACATCATCTAGAAGATAGTGTCCACCTAGTACCTGAGACCGATGCTGAGGACCGTGTCTAGGGTTACATCAGGCACTAGGAGGGTGTAGAACCCAGACCTGGAACCCCTAGCCTGTAGTGTGGGGACGGAACCAGGACCCCTTCACATGATCCCACAGGCCCCTTCGCTGCAGTGCAGGGCCCTCTTTTCCCTCCATCTAGCCTTGTCCCTGCACCTAACCTCCCAGCAGTTGACACCTACAAAAACTTAGCAGGCGTCTGTCTGAGCTGGGCCACACCCCCACGTGTGCGTAAGCGCTGGGCAGGAAGCAGGCGGCTTGGCTGGGATCTGGGCCTACTCTTCATGTTCTGAGCCCCGATTATCTGGGTGTCTCATCCTAGTGTTTGGCCTCAAGTTTTCCTGGATGGATTTCTACTCCAGCTCTCGGGGAGGGATACAAACCTGCATCACCATAGGGTACAAATGGTAACCTTCCTTCCTCCTCCCCAGGGAGCCCAGGGGAGGCGCCCTCCCGAGGCCACCATTGCCCATGCAGACCACCCAGCCACCTGGCTACTGATGTCATGAGTAACACGACAGTGCCCAATGCCCCCCAGGCCAACAGCGACTCCATGGTTGGCTATGTGTTGGTGCCTTTCTTCCTCATCACCCTGGTCGGGGTGGTGGTGGCTGTGGTAAGGAGCCCCACATCAGACGTGGCTAGGGCAGCCGATGGGTGGGCCTGGCCTAGTGCCCACAGCATCTCAGCTGTCCTTCAAAGGTGTGGATGTGGGTCCTCGGCAGGGCCATGCTGACCTCCCCAGCTTCTACAGTCCTATGTCTCTTGTTACAGGTAATGTACGTGCAGAAGAAAAAGCGGTGAGTGCCCTAACCCCTGGTACTATGCCCTCTAGCTGAAATGCTTCTTTTTCCAGACTTTGGCTAGTTATTGGAGGTCCTTTAATGGCCCAGTTATCCCTGGCTTGAGGGAGGGAAGCAGGTTTAGGGCCCAGGTTGAGCCTGACCCTCCCATTCCCCAAGGGTGGACCAGCTTCGCCATCACCTGCTACCCATGTACAGCTATGACCCTGCAGAAGAGCTCCACGAGGCGGAGCAGGAGCTGCTGTCTGATGTGGGCGACCCCAAGGTGAGAGCATTCTCACCATCAAGCACTATCCTGCCTGGAGATTGTTCTGCCCTTACTGGACCAGTCAGGTACCACTAACAGAAGCTTGGCACAGGGTGCTGGAGCCTCTTGCTCTTCTCCACAGGTGGTACATGGTTGGCAGAGCAGCTACCAGCACAAGCGAATGCCCCTGCTGGACATCAAGACATGACGGTTCATGCCCCTCTTACTTGCTATCCACAGCTGGCCCTAAGCCAAGCCTGTTTTCCTTGTGGAGTGGGTGACAGCCTTGCTTTCTCTAGCCTGCTTGGACCTTGCTGTGGCATAATCCAAGAGGCCTCTGGAGTTGTTCCCATGGTGACAGGCCCAGATGTATAGTAACCGGTGTATATATTTTGTAAATAAACTTTGATGGCTTCACTTTTCCCTTGCTGAGTGGGACAGGCTGGCTGCCGGCTACATCTTTCACCCCTTGATTGCTTCATGTCTTGCTTACCCCATCTCACACACTGGCAGCTCAGTCCAGAAAAGGCTGTTTTTTTATTCAAGTAACTGCAAATAGGAAATCAGAGGGGGAGCCCCAGGCTGGGCCAAATACTGACCATCCCTCCCCTACAGAACGAGGGGAGGTGGTCCTACACCCCTTTCCCATCAAAACGGGCCCCCCCTCCTCTCTGCTGCAGCATCCAAGGGGCAGGGCCCCATCATCCCTGGTGTGGGGTGGTTGGTAGCCAGCCTGCTGCACCCCAGCCCCCCTTCCCCCTAGTGTCTCGGGGAGAATGCAGGCAGAACAGGAGGATGAACTTTTGGCGCTGGTAGCAGCAGCAATGGTGGGTGTCTAAGAATGAACATTGAACAAAAAACAACACAACTGTCCAGAGGTAGTTTGTGAACAGAGGAGAAGATGGAACCAGAACCTTGGGGGGCAGGGAGGAGCAGAAGGGGGGGGCAAGGCTAGCTCCTTGGTGCCCCACTGGAGGAAGTGGGGGAGGTGAGTTAGCGCCCCAACTGCCTTAGGTGAATGTCAGAGAATAGGACCTCACCCTGGAGATGGGTGTGACCCCATCTGTCACTGCATTGGGTCCCAGGTGAGAACAAGGTGGGCGGGCCATCATGTCCTACTTCCTGTAGTCCAAGGGACTCTAGCCAACCTAATGCAGGGTCTAGGTAAGGTGGGGCAAAAGTGACTGAGAAACCCACCTGGTGACAGTTCGGTGAGGGGTGGGGGCGAGCCGGGATCTATGTATCCCTGCACGGACCACACTTGCTGCGGCCAGGTCAGCCAATGGGGTTTGTCTGAATTGAGATGGGGCTGGGGCCCATTAAGGCCAGGGAATGCTCCCAGGACCCTACACAAGGAAGCCAGGAACAGCAGAGCAGAGGGGACCTGCAAGAGAAAGAGCCCGGAGAGCAGCGTCTCCAGGGCCGTGCGCAGCAGGGCAGGCTGCGGCTACGTGGGAAGTTAGCCTTGTCGGGAGAGGGCAGGTGTGTTGGGAAGGAGGGCACAGGGACTGAGCCAAACCCTGCTCCCGTGGGTGCTGCAGAGCCTGCAGCTGGTGCGGTAGTGTGCAGTGGGGGTGGGGAGGGGGCTGGAAGCAGGGCTTCCGGTCCCAGGGAAGCTGCTCCTGTGATGGCCAAGGAGCAGGCGGCACTGCGCGTGGTCACTGCTCCTCCTCCGAGGACTCCTGGGAGATGCCCTCCTCTTCCTCCTTCTCCTGTAGGAGGCAGAACAACTCTGGGCCTGGCCCTCCTCCTTCGCCAACACCCCTCCCTCCCAGGCTCTCCTCTGCAGAAGGGGGATGAGTCAGGGCTGAGTGTGTGGTGACTCAGCAACCTCCACGCTGCTTTCATTCATAAAAATGAAGGATTTAAAGGGAGGAAAACCCACACACACACACTTGCTCTCACATACAGGCAGCTCACGCAGGCCAGACCAGGCACCTAGCCCAGGCTGAGCTGAGGGCTGAGAAAGTGGCAAGCTCTCCAGGGAGGAGGCAGAGGGCATGAGACTATATATAACGGGAGGGGAGCCACTAGGTGGCACAGGGCAGGTGTGGTGCCGGCTGCATCCCAGAAGGCCTGAGGTAGCCAATGGCTGACACTGTGAGCCAGGGTGGGAAGGAAGTGAGCCCCAGGGGTTCACTCACTGGACGGGAATGTTGGGACACCACAGTGCCAGGCAAACTCCAAAACAACCAATTTCCTGTTACTCATTCTTGGGGTGTAGCCAGCAGGGCCCCCCAGCCCCTCCACTAAGGGGTGGCTCAGCTCAAGGAATGGACAGCTTGGAAGCAGGGCCAAGAACACAGTATCCTGGAGGCACAGGCCCCCTGCATTGGCCCCCACTTTTCCCTGTCCAGATCTGCACTTCCTGGCCTTTCCACGAAGGTCCTAATAAGGGGGTAGGTACATGGGCACAAAGCGTGCCTCTCAGTGGGTGCCTGAAATTAGGAATTATCTTCTCAAGCAGAAGAGTCCTGAACTCATGTTAACAGGTTTCACGCATGCTCAAACACCCCTGGCCACACTGGGGGCACTCTTAACACTGGCCCCAAAGAATGAGAACCTACCAGTTTCTTGGGTCTGCCCCTCGGTTTCCTCCCTGGAGCGGCGGCAGTTTTCTAGAGTGAGAAGAAACAACTCAGTCCAGAGTGCTGAGCAAGCAGCCCTCACCGCCGCAAAGCCCAGGTGAGGGGGGCGAGGCTGGCGCGGAGCAGCCCAGGACCACCAGGTCCACCCTGGCCAGTTGCTGATGACTGGCCATCCCACGCCCCCACATCCAACACCCCCCCCCACTCCCCCTTCCACAAGTGACTCAGAGGATATGAGTCGCGCGCTAAAAAGTAAAATAAAAACAAAGACGACTCTTTGGAAGGCCGATGGCACTGACTCCCTGCATGGTGCATGCCCTCAGGATGAACGAGGGTGACGGTCCCAGCGCAGAGCTGGCAAAGGCCTTCACTCTCACTATCTTGCCTTTTTCCAGACCTGAAAAGCTACAACTCCTAACTTGGTTTCCCCACTGTCCTAGGCACCCCAATTTCTACAATTAGCAACAATCCACAGATGCCCTTGGCATCTACAGGTTGCCCTGTAGAAGAGTCTCACCCGTGTCTTGGCGGCACCCTTATTTTTGCTTCCCTTTGGTCGGCCCCGAGGTCTCTTCGGTGTTGGCACTTCACTGGGCTCCTTCTGCAAAGACAGGTGGGAGTCAGGGATATGGCAGCAGCCAAAGCCCCGGGGACCCCAAATTTGCCTGATCACCATCAAGCTCCTGGCCCCCAGCCTCTGAAGGTTTTAGACCAAAGATAAGAAACCAAAGACCTCTGGGAAAGATGTCCCTGGGGCAGGGAAGCCACTGCTAGGTGGCCCTGATCAATTCTTGGGCTACTGATCTTCTGCAAACTGCCTAATCCCATAGCTTGTCTCACCTGTAAAAGGTGGCGTATTAACACCTAGTGGCGTCAGGTGAGTCAAATCCACAGCAAAGTCAATGTCCAGCATTGGCCACAACTGCTGCCACCCCTCCTGTCTTACATGGGAAACCCCTCTCCAGGAGAGAAGCCACACACAGACCAAACCTTTGGTCAGCCCAAGCCAGAATAAAAGGTTGTGTTTTAAGTCAGGCATGGGGGCTCCCTCCCACTTATAATCAATACCAGCACTCAAGAATCTGAGCCAGGAGTATATAGTGAATGAGGCCATCCTCGGCCACAGAACCGCCTCAAACAAAATCAAAAGCCAGCCTTGGTCCAGTGACCACCGCCAGGTCCAGTAATGGGGCTGAAAAACAGAGGGTGCTGGGCTTACAGGCCTAGTCCCCCACAGGACCACCAACAGCACCCCTCACTCGAGAGACCTCTGAGAGCTCCAGGGCAGAGCCAGGCAGGTGGCACAGCCAATATCTTGCTGGCCACCCTCCCAGGGACCCTCCCAGGGACCTCACACGGGACTTCAGTGCCCACCCACTGGCCCAGGAACCCTTTCCCACTGGACACAGGAAGGACAGAAATGGATAGTAAGATGGAGAAACCCGGCAGCAACTGGACAGATATCGATTATGTGTTTAAAATTGTGTATATTAACAGCTGGGCCCTTGACTTCATTCTGAGCAGGGCAAAAATAAACAAATACTTTTAAGATGGGGCCTGGCCCTCCTGCCTCTACTCTTCTGGGTGGACTGCCATGTGGTGAGGCGCCACACCGAGTCCCTCAGACAGTTCTTGAAGGCAGTGAGCACAGAGATGGGAAAGGCCCATGCATACAGCAGGAGACAGTCCTGTACCCTCCCGGGATAGCCACACCCTGCTGGGTGCCAGGAGCCTCCCCAGCCCGAGAAAGGAAACAAATCAAAGGCTCTACTCACCCACCTGACTCCCTACCAGCGCCGGCCCAGGACTCACCGGAGGCTGCTTGCGCGGCCTGCCCCGGCCTCGCTTCTCAGTCCCGTCCTTCTCCTGCTTGGAGGCCAGGGGCTGGCTGGACTTTGAGCTGGACTCGCTCATCCTCCTTCTCTATGGGGCAGTTAGGGGGACTGGCTGTGATGCTGGGAGACAAAGTGGTGCCAATTACACAGGTGCCCTACCGTTCCTCCCACCGCTCACCATCCTGCCAGGGCTGCCACCCAGCAGGTCCAAGCCTGAGAACCAGAACAAATGCCATCACATACCTAAGACCCAGAGGTGGTGGCAACGGGTAGGGATGGAGGAATGAGAAGGGCAGATTCTCAAATAGACCCTGCCAATTAAAAGACTCTCTGGGTAGCAAGGCCGGATTCCCTGGGTCCAGGACAACGCCGTGTGTGTGTGTGTGTGTGTGTGTGTGTGTGTGTAAGAGAGAGAAAGAGAGAGTCACAAAGGGCCTGCACGCTGTACTTGGGGATCTCCCTCTAGAGAAGTCAAACAAGACAGTCAGCAAGCAGACTTCCAGTCAAGACCAAGTTTCAGCCACAGGCCCAGAAGACCCCACTCCATACTTCTGCAAGGACAGGGCAGTAGCGCTACCTGCAGAGCTACCCACGCTGGTGCTGAGGGATCAGGCTCACCACAGAAGCTGTGCCCCCAACCGTCTTTTCAGATTTCTGAGGCAACTACTAATTTTGACTCAATGACAGGAAAACATTTTGGAAACTTGTGATTTTTACAACACTTAACGATTCCTAATTCTCAAGCATCAAGAGATGCTCCAGATGGTGGAACTCTGCTAATTATTCGATTACAATATTTCAAACTTGAGACCCCTTTACACAGGGTGGCTGGGCCAGCTCCATCATTAGCGGCTGGGTCTGTTCCCTAATTACAAGCCGTGATTAGAATCTTACATAGCACCACAGGTCTCCTTCAAACCAAACATCAAAATTAATCAGCTAAATGAGTGCTGACCTCACACTGAGGTCTGCCCGAGGCCCTTGGGAGGGGGAGGATCATGGGAGAGAGCCGGCCCCGATCCCAGACAGAGACAGTGGGCCCAGCTTGCCTGCAGATCCCGGCTTCCTGGATACTGTTATACCACCCGGTGTCTTCCCAATCCTTACCGTTAGGGACTCTTTGAACCACCTGCTCCCCCAACGCCCACACTGAATTAGGAGCACAGAGTCCCGTCCAGGGAGACCAAGAAACCACTCATCTCCACCTGCTCCTGCACGCCAGGGAGGCCTGGCTTGCAGAAGCCACATTTAGGGTACAAGCCCGATGTGCTCTGGTGAGTCTCCAGCCTGTCTCCGCACACACAGTGGCCCTTCGATGTTTAGGCAACTAGGCAGGAATAACCAGAGGAATAACTCCTGGCAGGTCCATTGTTAGCTTTTTCTTTTTTTTTTTAACAGCTCAGAGAAGACTCAGGAATGGCCCAAGGTCACACAGCAACTTGGTAAAATGGAGCAGTTTCTGGCGGAATGCTTACAGACCGCAACTCTGCTTACTGAGAAGAAGCAGGTTAAGACCCTGGCGCCCTCTGCTCCAGACTGAGGGTGCCTCCGCCAGTGTCCCTGCCTGGCGGTTGTAGGCCGGCGAGTCTAGGCGCTAGGGCGAGGGGGAGGGGCGCTGGCCCTGCAGGCGCGGGAAACGGCGCACCCCGACCACATGCACCGCCACGCGGGTGCGCCCGGCCCCACTTCCTGCCAGAGGGGGCACCCAAGCCCGCCTTGGGGGCAGGAAACCTGGTGCGAGTTGGAGGAAGAAAACCCCCTCCTCCCTCCCCGAAAACCAAAACCTCAGAGGCGGGGGGAACCAAACAGAAACGGGGAGTCAAAGGGACTAGTTCTAACAGAACCCAGCAAAGCAGAGGAACCAGTTTGTAGTGGCGGAGGGAAGGCCCGGCCCTGGGGGCTGAGGAGGCGCGGGGCAGGGCCAAAGGTGTGTGGGTGAAGCCCCGAAACCCAGGCCCACGCGATCCGGCCTCGTCCACGCACAGCACGACCCTGGCAAAGGCCGAGGAAAGGCCAGGGAGGCATCGCGGGGCACCGGGCCCTACCCCCGCACTTCTAGAACTTCCCCGGCTGAG